CATAGGCGGACATCAAGTGCTTTATGCTTGGGATCGTTGTCTTGGTAGTACTGGAAATTGTCTTTAATTCCCAGCTTTTCCGCACTTTGCACTAAATTTTCTTTTAAAATGATCAGATATTGCTTGTGGTCCATATTACCATTTATGAAACACAAATTTCCAGTACCAGCTGCGGACATACAACCCCATACCGTTACTGAGCCGCCCCGTGCTTAATAGTCGGACGTAAATTCTTTTCTAGCAACTCTTCATTCGGTTTTCTCCAAACATAAGACTGTCCATCTGACACAAATATATTAAATTTGCTTTCATCTGCAGATAAAACTTGTTTCCGGAATTGAAAATCTTTATCCCCATGACATTTTGCAAAATTTTATTCTTTTGTTTCGGTTAACCTCGTTTGTGAATGGGTTCTTCCGTGCTACTATTCCATTATAATTATTTATTCGTAAGACTCCTCGGATTCTCTCCGGATTACAATTTATATTGAAAACTTCTGTTGAGAGCTTGGGAGCGCTCATGTTTGCCGCTGATCTGCAGCCGAAAACAACTTCGGTCATCCCGACTTCTTTTTGTTTTCCACGGATTTTGTTTGTTTGAATCGTTTAATCACGTCATGCACAGGCGAGCGGGGTCTGCTCACAATTTCTGCGATTTCCCGAATGGTTTTTTCTATTTCAAAATGACTAATAATTAACTTCCTTACTATTACGTTTGATCATATACATATATATTTTTAAACGAAAACAAACTAATTGTGGGATTCCCCTTTTTAAAATGCCAAGCAACTGTAATATTACCAGATGTCCGACTTCTTTTTTGGCGAAATTTCTAGCTTGCCACATGTTAATTTTTTGAAGTAAGGGTATAGGAGACCTATAAACTATTTAATTTGTTTGTTATTGGTATTTTTTAAATCCTTATTCGATACCCTATAGAAACATAAAAAACAAAAATGCTTAATATCAATTGATTAAAAATAGATCTGGCTTGATGTTGCATGTTAATAAGAGTGGAATGTATGTCCGAGTTTTTTATTGAGCCACTGTACATATATGCAACCGTTCTCATTTGATATATGTACATAGAACTTAAGTAGTAATATTGTGTTGGATAAAGAAAAGGTTATAAGAAAAATAAAATACATTGAATGCTTTGTCATACATACATATATACGCTTAATCATAAAACTTTTTTATTTCCATTAAAAATATAAAAAATACCAAATTTAAGGAGGGCTAGAATTCACAAACCTTTTAAAAATAAAAAAGGTCTAAGCTAAATTTTTAATTTGACGCATTAGATTTTGGATTAAAACTAAATAGCCACGCATATTGGCTACCTCTTTACAATTGCGAAGTCGAGCCGAAAGAAATCAAATCTGTTTGAACCCGAATGGTTATTCCACTTTTTATTTATACATGTATCAGAATTTTTAATTATTTCTGCAAGACCATATTCTCCACTCAGCAGTTAAACCCCGCCCTGGTTTTCCACATTTTATTTTACTTTTTTATATTATATTATGTCCAAACGAATGTGAATTTTATTTACAGCTAAAATAGACAGACACAACACCCAAAATACGGTCAGCTTTGTCTGGGGAGCCACCTAAAAAATTACTAGAAATCCTTCTTTAAAATATTATCTCATGAATGTAAAGATTTGAAGCTATGAATCTTTTACCTTTATTTAGCCAATTTAGTTTATCAGGTGTATAACTTTGCTTCCGCCGTTTTCCGATATGTGGCTGTACCGGCTGACGCTGGTTGAAATACATAGATGAGTGAGTTAAAGTGAGTGTGGACAGTGCCTAACGAATTGTCATAGCCGTTTCAGTCAGAGTTTTAGTATTATTCACGCTCGAAAGTGTCCGTTTATGTGCCTAATTCTCGCCATTTGCGGGAAGTTTTACTTTTTTGTTACAATTCGAAAAAAAAATGCAGCTGAAGCGCATCGAATGCTCTCAGAAGCTTACGGTGATGCTGCTCTGAGTAAAAGAACGTGCCGGGAGTGGTATCAAGGTTTTAAAAATGGTGATTTCGATGTCGAAGACAAACATGGTGGTGGAAGAGAAAAAACCTTCAAAAACTTCTTAAAACCGGGTGAAACCATTACAGGAGGTGGCTTCCGAACGCAACTGATGCGCCTTAGTCGCGCGCTGAAAGAAAAGCGGCCACAATATCAAGGGGGTTCATGACAAAATCATCCTCCAACACGACAATGCTCGGCCTCACGTCGAGTGGTCAAAAAGTACCTCAAAACGCTGAAATGGGAAGTCTTGACCCACCCGCCGTATTCCCCAGATGTCGCCCCTTCTGACTTCCACCTATTCCGTTCGGCACACGGCCTGGCAGATCCACATTTTCAATCATTCGTAGAATTGGAAAAATGGATTGCTTCATGGATAGCGTCAAAAGACGACTCCTTTTTTCGAGCCGGGATCCGAAAATTGCCGGAAAGACGGGAGAAAGTTGTCGCTAGAAATACTTTGAATTATATATCTGTAAGCACTTTTTCGCAATAAAGCTTTTAATTTTGGAAAAAAAAACGGCAGAAGCAAAGTTGTACTCCTGATATTACGTTGTCATGTATTAAAGAAACTAAGAATAAAAATATCCACATTAATCCACACTTTAATGGAGCTTCATTTTGACAAGCATACACCTCAACTCATGACCATTTATTACTGCACCAAAGAAAAGTTTGAAAGCCTATTTTTCCATCAAGTTGCTTATGGCTGTCCCAAGATATAATGTCGCTCAAAATTCTATCTGTGGACTCGCATGTTAACATTATTCCACATTTTCCAATTTTTTAATCAAACGGATAGTGACTTAATGGATTAATTTTTTCTTTGCAGAACGGTATATTTAATCTGTTTCTTTGTTTTGTATAGAGCAAATGCAGAATGCCAACTAATAAGATAGAAAAAAAAGTAAAAAGTAGGCATGGTCTGAACTGTTTTCCTCATTATGATGGTATAATTATCTTATTTTAATTTTTTTTTTTCGGAAAAGTTGTGTTTTGCTTTATATGAAAAATTTTTTCACCGAATTTAAAATAGTTGGTATCGGTGGAAATAGTTTTTCTTTAAGATATGTGTAATTAATTTGGTATATAACAGATAATATAAAATATCTTAAATAATAGAGTATATTCGTGTAAAGTACGACCGCGGTAAAGAGTAATTTAGATACATTTACAAAATTTTTGAATTTCGCTGGGAAATTATACAGTCTGTTGAATTCGCAAAATATCGAATAAGAAATTTAATTAAATTAGAAAGAAAAATTAAAAATAATATTGTGTCATTAACGCCATAAACCTATCTTATGGCGGCCTTCGGGCGTTAAAAAAAAATACCTCCCACACCGCCTTGTAAAGTAACTTTGTCGAAAATATTTTCACGCAAACCTAAACAACAAACCTATTCAGACAGACAATGTGTGAGTATGGCTAATGCTCGTTAAAACCACAATTAAAGTGTCATTATCAAATTAAAGCTATTTTTATGTTATTATTAGTTAATATTTTATGTATGGTTGAATTTTAAGAAAAACTACATATAAAAAAGGAAATATTTCGCTTTCAACGATTCCAAGTTTTTAAAGTTGCAGGCACAACTTTCCAAAATATAGCGTTTTATAGTTTTCGAGTGGGGGAGCCCACCTTACGCCATATCTACGAAAGTAAGTTTCCAAAAAAAAAAATATATCATTAAAATCCGAAAAACAGAGCGCATCACGTTCATTAATTCATTTTGTTCTACGTTAACAATTTGTATTCTGCCTTTTGTCCTTTTGCCTTTAAAAATGCAACTTCGTAAAATATGTTTTCTTCAACGTTAATGATGTGATCAGAATAAACAATAATGAAAATTTGAATGAATTAATAAAACAAAAGGTATTCGGAGTTTTTTTTTAATACATATCTTTTTTTAATTATTAAAACTCAACCTTGATAACTTCCCCTACCTAAATTATTATCTTTTCCGGTTCACATTAAAAACATTACTAAAATATATAAATAAATAATTATATATATTACAAAATTTAAAAGCTGCAAATATTGTCTTTAAAAATGTCGATTTAATTTGGTGAAGAAGTTTCGAGTAAATTTCAAGATTTTTATATTTTGTTTATTGTATATTATAAATCTTTGCTTTAAAAATATTTCCCTCCTTTCGGTTTAGCTCGGTTCTGGGGATTAATTTTTTAGCATACGAAGTGGACATTCGATTTCTCTAAGAGTGGTTCTGCAACACTAATTCTTTTAACTATTTTTATTATGTTGTTATTATTGTAATTCATCAAAGCCCTTGTAGATTAGAATAATTTTCGAGAGAATTCATTTCATAGGGAAAATATATAAATTGCTGAAAGAAATGCTTTAAATATTTTTACGTTTTTATTTTATTCTTATTTTTCATTATTTTTATGCTTAATATAGTAAAATATATATATATATATATTTAGTTATTTCTATTCATTCACTTCTTACACGACTAAGTCTAATATTATACAACTAAGTTTTGTCATGCTAGCACATGATTATGTATGTTTGTTTATTAGTTTATTGTTATTTTTTTTTTTTGTTTTACTTCGCATGTAATCATATGTACTTTTACATATATATCTCTAACTGTATATACTAAGTATTAATTAGACATTTTAATTTATAATAAAATGTCGGCATGAAGGTGAAATTCTTTCTGATTTACAATCTAAGCACTCTTATCGGTATATATATGCATACATATATACATATGTACATATATGTATATCTGTGGTATTCATTTACATATATATATAATATTGTATATGAAATATTAAATGTGAGGAATAAGAGAATTCGGAACATGATTAAAGCAAATCAAAGATCAATTTGCTTGTGCAAAAGAATTATTGTGTATTTAACAATAATGATCATTTACAAATAACCGATAGATTGCCCCACATTTCAAAACCATATACTAATTGTACCGCTGCTCTAAATTCGCTTAAAAAACGGAATTTATTAATTTAATTTGCTTTGTTTGTCTTGTTGAGAACTTAAATGTACAATTTATATAGTTAAGTTAAAGCGAAAATATTATTTACACATATAGAAACAATAAGTAAATCCTACTGCAACTGCAAAATGTGTGCACATAAAACGGAGCGAAACAATAAAACTTAAACGCTATAAAGATTATAAACTTAAACAAATGAAAACAAGTACTGCTAAGAGTACTATACAACTGAACCCAGGTTCCACCAGTCGCCTTTTTTCGCAACATATGTCCTTATTCTTTTACTTTGTTTTTTTTTTTTTTTTTTGTCTCCGTTGAAATATTTTAACGATTTATAATTTTACATCATCTATTATCTGTATTCAACCACTTTGATTATCCTGTGGTATATTAATTTCGTACTTGATAAATTGAGCTGCATTAGTACCATGTAATACCTGCAGATGAACCGCATGATGATTTCCAATCAACATAGCCGTTGGTTGTTGCTGCTGTTTTTTTATGCGACTGTGCTGTTGCTGGGTTAAATCCTAAATGGAAAAAAGTAAAACTGTTTCTACTTTAAATTCAATTATATAACGGAAGTATATATATTTATTTATGCAATAATTAGCAACAAATACCTAATGTTTTATGAATTTTTCTTGTACTAAAAATAAAGAGCCACCAACTCGCATAACGCCCTTTATTCATTTCCCAAAAAAATACTAAAATAAATATTTTATTAATTATCAATAAACTTTGGTAAATACTAAGTACTATTATTTAATATAACATGCACAATTCTCGTGTCAGTGTAACCAAGCTTTTCCGAAACGACTGAATTGTTTTTAATGAAATTTTATATTCGTGTCGGGTATGAGAATTGGTCAACATCTATTTCCGCCCCCGGGAAGTTGAGTAGGATCTGATATATTCCAAAACTATTTATGTTTTGATTTAACATAAAAAACATTTTTAAACGATTTTTACGATTTGATTGAAGTTTAATGGTTTTTTGCTTTGTTCAGATTAATACCCAAAACATGGTTGAAGTCATTTGGAAAAATCGTATTTATGGTTCGGTTTTATTGAACTTTTCTTTCCTGAAACGAGTTAGTTCATTTTAAGCAACGGTTGATTACTTGACTATGCGTTATATTAGATGACAAAACGCAATGGTATATGTCCCATGAATTTTTCATGATGTTTATGGCGCCTGTTCGCGTGTTGAAAACCCGTTTTTGTTGTATATTCTTGTGTCGAAAAACTAATCGGCTACTATCACCATATGATAGTTTTCTACAGATTTCGAGTGCATTCAAATGAATCATAAGATTTGATCTAACTATATTTTATTATCACTCTGGATTTATTACAAAGGTATGCAATTGAGGTGCGATGAGCCGAAGTTCTCCGGGTCCGCTGGTATAGTTTATAATTTACCCATCAATCTGAAGGTTTCACTATGTAAACATGTAAAGTGGAACTCACAATAAGGAGCCAATGATAAACTCTCACTCTTTTATTACAGAGCAAGAGTGGGTTTGATGTTAATATATATTTATATGTATGTACACACAGATCTTCTATATCATTAGCTTCTACAGTTTAAAATATAGCTTAGTTGTGAAAATATTTCAATAGAGCAAAACATGCGTTTGCATTTTGGAATTGGTATGTAATAGAAATTACATTCCTATGCAGGTATTCAGAAGGGACTAAATAATTGAGTATCATAATTTTAACAATCGTACAAATCTGCTATTGAGTAAGCAGTTAAATTTTATTCCCTAACGAGGTGTTATAAAAATATACGTTGTTGTTGTAGCGGTTATCAAATCCCGTTTAGCAACAGGCAAAAAAACTGTCATCTAACGAGCTGTTTCGCCGGTTTTGGGTGTGTCGTGGTGGACGATAATATGTTGTTGTAGTAGCAAACAATTTTTTCTATTAGGGTATGCAGCGGGAGTTAGTCCTTAAACGTATAAAAAAAACTATCACGAAAACTTTAGGACTTTAGTTGTCTCTTATAACAGGCACGCCATACTGCGGAAGAATTCTAGAGTTCCTTCTCCCGTAACTATGTCATTACCCTCACGACTGTAGGCTATATGCAACGAAGTTAACCTGTATTTGATCCGGCCATAGATTGACACTTTTTCGGCCTAACTACGTTTGGGTCAACTTAAACTTAGTTACAGTTTTCTCGTGATTATCATAGAGTTTACGAAGTCAAGTGTACTTCAATGGTTATATGATTATGGCTTTTTCATCTTCTATTGAATCTAACTCCCATTTTCAATATGACCAAAAAGTTATTCTCTTATTAACAGGTTCAAATGAGCGAAGTTTACAATAACTCATTTTTCCATCGATTATATTCTTAGAATTAGGGGTTTTTTTCGATCTTTGACTTCTACAATGAAGGAATAAATTCATAGCGTTGAAAAAGCTGTTGAGCGTCCTTTTTTTATAACAATTTTAAAACGTAATTTTTTCGTGGCTCAACCTTTCTATTAATGTATATGAATACTAAGATTATTTAAAAGTTATTAGTTTCTTAAAATATAATTTATGTCTTATTTATATCTTAACACGCAAGCATATATTTCAAAAAAATATTTCCTTACCATTATGTTAGTATTTTGCGTATGCCGTTTTATTTCGTGGTTGCTTGATATGAGGATTCTGACTTGATGTTAAGCGTTGGTTATATATCTCAGCATAACGTTACCGAGCTGATGTGTAAAATTATAATGGAAGCGTTGCTAAGCCGACTTGCATGTTTTGCTATTTTTGCGGGTTACACAGCGTGCGCAGCTTTTTTTTATATTTAATGTACTTAGCAATGCAATCAACGCACCTGTTGTTGTTGCTGCTGCTGTTGTTGTTGTTGTTGCTGCTGCTGTTGAGAGGCAGTCAATGTCGGTTTAGTTTCCAAGTGTTGACGCTGATGCAGCATTAAATGATTCTTTTGGAAGAATGCCTTGCCACACTCGCAAACATGTGTACGAACAGTGCAACCACCATTGGGATGTCTGCGATTATGTTGCATGAGGCCATGCTTAGCGGCAAAACCTTTGCCGCAACTAGCGCAAAAGTGTGACTTTGGTTTGGGCGGCGTGACTTGCTGCTGTTGAGGGTGATGCTGTTGTGGCGCAGTATTGGTAAGTTGCTGCTGCGGCTGCTGATGATGCATTACGCCAGGGACGTTGGTAACAACAGCCTGTGGATGTGTTGCTGCGGCGGCTTGCACCAATGTGGTTTGGGTCATGACTTGACCGGTTGATGAAATAATTTGCACTGGCACTGTATTCTGTGCCACTATATTGGGATTTGTGGCAACTACTGTGGCCCCTGGATTAAGACCAGTATTGAGGAAGTGACCCGGCAATGCTGCAGTCAAAGCGCACAAGTCAGTCATAAGGCTCTTGTCACCTGTATGCAATCGCAAATGAAGCGCTAGCGCTTCTCTACTGTTGAAGGCACTTCCACATTCGCTGTTAAAATAATAGGTAGATTTGATTTAGGGAGGTATAGGTAGCCTTTCTAGTATATCCATCATTTTCTTTATTAAACATGTTATACACATATACCATACATACCGACAACCAAATTGGGGACGTGAGCCATCATTTCCTGCCACAGTTAATAATGCCGGATTCGCTGGATTACTGACAACAGTAATTGTTTGTGGATGTGAAGACTGCGCCTGTTGTTGTTGCTGCTGCGAATGGTGTTGCTGATTAGAATTAATCTGATAAATACAAATTTATTTTTAAAAAAATCATCAAAAATAATGTCAATGATCTTGCAATAAAGGAAAATACAAAAACAAAAGAAAAAAAAATACATTCGAAATTCCTAAGCTCGAAAACATTAGGTTTTTTGAATGTTCGAAATAGCGGTATTACTTTTTAAGAAATTATTAATCCATTTGCAAAAATGTTAACCCTTACCGTGGCATTTGACGAGTTTGGATTGACGCCTCCGTGTGTATTACGCACATGTTGATTTAATTCAGCCTTCGACATAAATCCTTCTCCACAACTAATGCAAGGATATGGCTGGTCGCCAGTGTGAATTCTGTTATGAAATATATTTAAATATTTTTCTTAATCATAAGCAGTTGTCATTTACCTCATGTGAGAAACTAGCGTACGCTTCTGCAAGAACTCTTTGCCACACAAGGTGCAAGAGTGTGGCACTTTACCGTGTATACGGCCATGGTTTACTAACTGAAATTTGCGTGGAAACGTAGCTCCACAATCTGGGCATACAAATGGATTTAAGGATCCATGAAAACTGAAATTACATAAGAAGTTCAACACAAATAAATTATGATAATTTAACTTTTGTAGTATACCGTGAATGCATTATTAAGTGATTCTCCTGAGCAAAGCTTTCGCCGCATTCTTCACATACATATGGTCGTTCCCCAGCATGAAATTTACTGTGTGTTACTAAATGCCGTTTCAATGGGAACGTACGTCCACATTCAGGACAAACAAATGGCCGATCACGACTATGAACACGTGAATGAGTCAACAGGTGGTGTTTCAAAGTGAAACTCTTTTTGCATTCGGTGCATTGAAAGGGTCGATCAGTTGAATGCAACAAAAGATGTGTATTTAGACAGTGCTTATGAGCAAAGCTTTTACTGCAATGCACGCATACGTGCGGCCGTTCTCCTATAGAAGTTTGCATAATTTATTATATTATTTAATTACTTTTAAGAACACACAATATCTATTATACCTGTATGTACTCGCGCATGCGTTGTTAAATGATGCTTTAGCAGAAACGATTTTCCGCACTCATCGCAGCTATATGGTCGCTCCTTCTTAACTGTGGCGTCATTCTATATTATACACAACAAATCAGATATATAATATAAAAGCAATAAAATTTGGAAAGTAATTTCTTCTTACTTCATTGTAATTCATGTTATCTTGTAACTCTGTTTTCGGTGAAAGCTCTAAAGTACCAGGCTCTAACTTTAGAGGCGCATCGCCTTGTGAATCTTCTGTCTCTTCTAAACCTTGAATTACTTTTTGAACCTGAACTGATATTCCTGGCAAAATGTCACCTGAGTGCAAATGCATTAAATTCGAAATAGAGATCAAAGAAAATAAGAAAGTGTGGATCAGTGAACGCAGGTATTTTTATTTTTTGAATTGAGTGTTATGATTTTCATTCAAACATAAAAATTAATGTCATGATTTGATATTTGTTAGTCTTAGTATCATGTTGGATGGCTCAGTAGTAACCCAAGTACAAAAACCGACTCAGTTGTTCGCATTTTTGCTATTAAAAGTCCAGTTTTTAACTGATCGAATACATTTTAGTGAATCTTTATGATGTTTATATACGAAAATCAATTTCTAAAAAATATACATATATTTAATACACTAAAACTGTTATGAGAATATACAAAACATAAAATAAGAAAACAGAATGATGTACAAGTTTTTTCGAAGTGTTAGTAAAGAATTTCTTACCGAAAAATTACAAAAAATTGGTTATTCATGGGATACTTTTCCATTGTTTTGTTGTTGTGCTATTGCACAGAAAGAAAAAGTGCAATGGACGAAGTTGCATGCTTGTCCCAGACTAATGTATTTGAGCGAATTTACATAGTAAGAAAGCTCATAAGCATAAAGAAGTCTACCTTCCGTTAATACTTAATTTGAATATATCCACTTATATATGTATATTTTTCATAATTTTATACATATATCAAGTAAAGCGAAATTTCGATATATTGTAAAATATCCGTGTAGAACCATAACAACATTTGAGGTATGATTAAAGAAGAAAATGTTATTAGAAGTATTTTTTGTATCTGTGAGAAACTAATTTTACAAACTATTTTCTTAAACATAATTTTTAGTAGTGGCTATACTTTCAGAAGAAATATCTGATCGATGATCAAAGATAAAAGAGTTTTTACTCTAAAAATTTATAAATTCGACCAAACTTAATTGTTCCTTGTTGCAGAAATTTTTTATATAAAATTTTCTAATGACTAACGGTGCCTTAAGCAATTTTTATTTTCTTCACACATATCGTGGTCAAAAAATTTTTATTTCTACGTGTGACCACCCTAAAACCAGTTTCTGCAAATTAATCACAAAGGATTGCAGAAATATAAATTTCAATTATCTACAATTTGATTTCAGAAATTGAATTCAAAACTACTCATGCAGGCACTAGCAAGTTTGATTTCTCTTGAAATTACTAGCAAAAGATATTTAATGCCAAAGACGATTTTCGATAATTTATTGTGAAATATATAATTCTACAAATTGGGTTTCTAGTTCCATTAAATTTTTGTGAATGCTCTTGAAATTAGATTTCGAAATATGTATGTCATTTTATAACCGAATTTAAAATCATGCCGTCTGAGGGCACATTAAGCTATCGAATATTTTTAATAAGAGTTATAAACCGCAACTGCATGGTCATGATCTTTGATTTAATAAAAACTATAATAATTTTCATCAAAAATATGTCGAGTATTATCGGTTTTTTAAATAGAAACGGTTTTGGAATTGCTAAATTTGCACGTGATACGTGATAATTAAATATATAAAAGTATGTACATTATACACGATCACAAAACAAAAATTAATATATATGTGTGTATATGAATAAAATAAATAATAAGTGCATTTACTAAGAACGAAAATTATATAAATGATATTTTAAGCACACAAAAACCTTATGCACCAACACCAAGCCTCATTAACACCAACATATGTATGTTAATTCAATTTTCGTAATGGATCAAGATTTAAAGTTTTCAGTAATAATTATGAAATCATTACAAATATACAAGCATTTGATATGATCTAATATTACATTTTTATTTTTTATTCCCAAGGATAAAATATAGAAGTTGAGCATTTTTAAACCTAAAACCAAACTCAACGATTTTCAAATATCGAAAATCAGCAAAATAAGAAGTTCAACGAAAGTTTTGAAACTTACAATACCTTTAGTTTTTTCAACTACAGAGAAAATAGGCTTGGAAATTTTGAAAATGCGCGAATTTTCTTAAAGGAACTTTCACCACGAAAATTCGAAAACAATGTAAAAATCTCTTATGATATTGGTAACACATTTTTACGAAAAAACGCGTTTTCAAAAATACAACTCGAACAATCCTTTTATACTGAACAACTGAACTATCAGTGGGACGTATGTTAGCATTTGTATTGTTTTCTCTTTACATGATTTTTTAATGGGATAAACATTAGTAGAAATAGTAGTAGATCGCCACACGATGTTTAAAGGCACGGACGAGGGAGCTTAGATTTTTTTGAAATTTGTTCAGTCTTACTTGTCGTCCCATGTCCGTCTGGAGTAGTGATCGTGTGAGTCTGTTGCGATGCGGCAAGCGCGCGCTTCATTAAAATCTCGTTGCATTCCTCTGCAGTGAGATGAATCGGCCCGATGGGACTAAAATGCGTTTTAGCGCCTGTTGCTGTTGTTAGAATGGTTTGTGACTTCGTATCGACGATACCATTAGTCAGGGAGTGTGACTGATCTGATTGATCTACAAGTAGGTCTAAATCAAAAGCAAATAATTTGTTTTGTTTTGAAACACTATTAAAATATACTCGATTGGTGTGCATGGACTTGGATGCTTACAATTTTTGTCGCAGTTAATACTGAGCACTTGTTGGTCTTGTTTCTTCACCACCGATGGTGTAGTAGTACCTGCAGTAATGACCCTGAAATAGAGAAGAAAATTTAGATTTGACATTTTAGTTTTTATACCACGACAGCAATAATGAGTGGAGTTCTGAGAATTTATAAGAAGTTCACCTTCATATGTTTTCAGGAAATCGCACTCATTATTTTCTGTTTTTGCTTTGAACAAAAAGTTTTAAAGTAAAAAATTACCTTTGGGCTCCTGGCGCAAAAGGTTCGTTGACTACAAACATACGTCGAACAACACCTCCTTTCTGAGCTGCTAGACCTCCCTTAACATCCTTCTGAACAGTTAGCGATCCATCTGTAGATAGTAAATATGGCATCTGTAAAACAAATATCGTGTTAAATTTCTGCTGATTAGACAAATAAAATAGTAAGAACAAATATAATCACTAAATAGACCAATAATTTTTTTAATATTTCAAATGTTTAATATTTTGAAAGGGGAAACTTCGCAAAAGGGCGCCAGGCTTTGAAACAGATTTCTTGTTAGGGGGTTAGAGGTGGTCAAGTACTTCACAAAAATACATGTATTTCTACGAGGTGACTTATAGTTTTCGAGTAATTTGTTGTTAAAGATAAAATTTTAGCCAACCAAAATTACCGAGTAAAAGCTAATATAATCACACGGAACTTTAATATCGCATATAATAATGTCCAATAGCATTTCAAACAACTTTATTGAATTAATTGAAATCATTTTTACACATAAAAATGCAATCTCATGTTTTTTTTACTATAGTAAGTAAAATGACGTATAAGACTCCGCTACAATCAGTAAAACCCGCGCTACCACACGCCAAAGGTAAGTTCAAATATTGCAACGGAATATATGTAATCAGTCTGTTCATTTGCTTTTTGAATTGTTACTTTTTTACGATTTTGAAAACAAATCCCCTGGGCTGGACCAACACCGACTTCGCCTTGCACAGTAAGTTAACGCAATTTGGCCGGATTTACAAAAATAATCCTGAGCCGGACAAACACCGTCTTCGTCTTGCACGGTATTATTAAGTGAAACACCTTTGTAAATTGGAGGCATTTGACCGCATTTAAAAAAAATAATATTGGTCCGAATCACAACGGCTTCGCCTTGCACAGAATTCTTAAGTGAAACACCTTTTTACGTTGGAAAGGGATATTTAAGTAATATGGTTACTCTTCAAATGTGTGGCACACAGTTTTTCTGGTTCTAACGGACATGAATTGCAATTTTTTATGTGTAAAAATGATTTTAAGTGTAAAAATGATTTAAATTGATTAAATAAAATAGTTTGAAACGCTATGCCATATTAAAGTTTCGTGCGATTATATTAGCTTTTACGCGGGAATTTCGGTAGGTTAAAATATTATCTTTAACAAGAAATTACTCGAAAACTATAAGCTCGGTGAATGAATATATTTTTGTGATGTGTATAACCTCCTCTAGCCGTTTCAAAGCCTGGCGCAACCTCCCCTTTTGAACAAATTTTTAAATATTGTTGCATTTACAGGATTCCTGTTTTCAAATATGACTACTGCTAGAGAGTAAAATAGCAAATTAAAGTTTTAACAAAGAAGATTAAAAGGGGAAAATCAGATAGGAGATAATTTACAACATACATTCTTCACAATAATTTTTTGTCTTTAAATATAACAGAATTAACTTTCTTGTTTCTTGTTTGGTCTATTAACTTTAACTTAAAAATATGTGTTGATTTGATGTTTATCTAGATAAATTATTATGAATAAAATTACTTGGGTTGTTTTAATTGCATCTTATACATTTAATTGATATATTACATTATCCTTTTCATTATTAACCTGATGCTGCGAAACCCACCCCCTCTATCTCAGCAACAGATTACAAGCTAAACATACCAAATAGAACGACTTACAGCAGAAAAATGTAAACAAACAAACACAAATCTCCTTTTACACACACAAAGTTAAGATAGAGAGCGCGCATCTTTCCTACAGTTGGACTTTTGACTGTATAATTTTGCGCCAAAAACTCGACAATACAAAATATACAACACATTTAACCATGCTTTTAATTGTATATATTCAGCAAAACAGATACAGTGGTGTGTGTACAGTAGTTTGAATGAAATTCAGTACAAGTGTATACAGACACAACACTCAGTTCATTGATATGTAGCAAATTTACTCCGTAAAAATGCAGCCCTGTTTATCAAAGGTTCGCCTCCGATTCTATTAGCCAAACTTGGGGCGAATTGGTATAGTCGCCATTTTAAAATTGCTACACGATTCAACATATATATGATTTAACCACATTTTCATTATTTTCGATGTACTGATTTACTGGCTCTTTATCAATTGAAACATTTTTCTTTATATTGTATACAAAACAATTCCCATTCTCCATGTTGTCCACCACTCTTGCATGTGACATAGTGTGACCGTAGCCGATAACGACTATAGTGGCGTTACATAAATCTTCGTATACGTATAGTCACACACATTCATCTCTACGCTTAAGCAAAATGAACATACATGTGTATCATACATACATAGTTCATACATATAAGCACTTCTATCATAAAGTACACGCACTACGTGTGAACGAGTATACATGAATATAAAAAACCGATATGAAGGGGGAGTTAAGGTGTTTCTGTACACAGACACCTATTGATACAATGGGATTCTGAAAACAATACATTGGATGCAGACTTAAGCGAATAACAAAATAAAGTTTTAGTATTATGTTTAGATCTTCTCACTTACGGATTCACTGCTGACTGTGTAATTAATATTTGTTGGAATTTCCAATACAGACTCTGTACGGGTATTATCGGCAAAGCCCCAAGTATAGCCGAAGCCCTGCTGAGGGTTACTATGGGCTGCACACATTTTGGTGATTATAGGAGCTAGATTTACCCGCCTTTTTTTATTTCAATTAAGTTATATTTACAATTGTTCGAAGCGATGTGTTTAAACTTTTTTCAATAATTAACACAATACGTTAGTAAATATATATTAATCGTACATTCCCACGCTGGCAATAAGAAGCAACGTATGCCGCGTCCAACTCCGACTGTACCACTTGCACTTGCCACACACTACAATGAGCTCGAATTTTTAAAAAACAACAACGCATATAGCCACTTTATTTAAATAACGTTGTTATTCTTTTTATTATAAACCGAAATCATGTCAAAAAAAGAAAGTTATATCGCTCTTGCAGTAGCATGCGCCATTTTTGCACGAATTATCACTAAGCGAGAAATTCAAAGGCACGTCTGCTTGGATTTATATATTAACTTTATAGATAGCACATCTCACATTTATTTTATTTAATATTCAATAATATTAAATTTTAAGCAGTACAAATACCGCGCAAACTTTCCTAAACAGACACTAAAATTCCACCAAAAATCATTGACGCCATCTTGAAATTGCTATTTGGATTCAGAACTCTTCGTACTCGTTTTTCGCCTTGCTTCGGGTGACGAGGCAAATTCAGCAATAAAGCGAACGATTCAGCAACTTAAAGTTTTTATAAAAATTTATGCAAATTTCGTCAAACATTTCCTCCATCTTCAACCTCTTATTCATTATTATTATTACTCATAAGACGGATTAGTCAATTACACTTACGGACGTAATTTAAAAATTAATATACCAAACAAAAAGCAACACCACCAACTATTTTCACAGATAGATGTCGCACTTAAAAATCTTTATTCAGCTAACAGCATTGTTGCATGTGGAACCATTTGAATAAAAGGTTAACTTATTTTTATTTTTTGTAAAAATCAAATATTCACAACCTTCCCAATAATCACAATCTGAATCGCAGAAATTGTTAAGATTCGGGATTGAACGATACAACTTCTGAAGCAGGTATTAATAAACCAAAGATTATCTACAACCGGAAATAAGGCGGAGCTTAGATCTTGGCTACGCGAAGTTATGAATGCTTACGGCATTGGCTTGAGCCAATACAAATTCCGGGGTGAAGACCAAGGGACATCCACGAATGTTGTAGAGAAAGAGTAGTCTGACGATTCTGTGAAGGATTTTGCCATAGACGAATATTGCAGAAAAGGCTCCGTTTTCGTCTACGGTAATTTCACATATGAATGCCAACATTTCATCACAACTGTAAGACCAGAATGTCAACATTGCATTCCAATTGCAAGCCTGGGTAGCATGTATATAACTACAAGATTGTTAAGGAAAAATAAATAAGTAAAATAAATTAAAATAAATATTTTAAATAGATTCTGGAAATGCTAACGTTCATTAAGAAAAGGGTGAGTATTCGCCACTTGGTCAGCACAGTTTTAGTCTTGATTTTTCCTATAACGCCAAGAAAGAACTAGCATCACGATTAATTACTCTCAAACTCCGCAGAAAAACTATTCTTGCCCGGAAAAAGGAGCTAGGAGATGTATGTATGTACATATGTACATGGATCTGTTGGAGAGCGCACCCGGGTTGTTAGTGGCAGCGTAAAAGCCCGATATGATCAGGCAACACGATCGAAGGGATATCAGAAAGAAGATCTGATTTTGTTTTCTCAGCCTAAACGTAGAAAGGATTGTGTTCGGGGTGGCAGTGCAATTTAAAATGTCTGTATAAGTTTATAAAACGGCTGAGCGACATGGTGCGTCGAGTGCAGACCATAGGTAGAAGATAAACCAGAGTAATGTGGTCCACTTGGAGAGCCTCGTAAGGTTTGATAAAAGTGTGTGATCCCAAGTTATTTTCGACTAAGCCTTTTTCAAAATTTTTGGTGTTGGTTTTTATGTTTTTTTTAACAAATATATTTTACATTACTATTAATATTGAACCGATTTTGTAAATTTATCAAGATGATATCCTAAATCCTCGAACTCGACCACGAGATTGTTAAATGAAAGGGGCCAAATCTGCCGCACAACCTCTTTGTTGTAAAGAACTTACTCTACATTTACTTGTTAACTACGATATCTTGCCATTAGCAGGTATTATATTATATACAACTGAACTTGCCAGCAGTGACTGTCTTCTCTGTATATCCGTTGATTGGTCCCATACATCCTGCAAAGTTCTTTACGAAACGTTCTCGAAAATGAACATTCGATCGCAAGCCATTAGTGTCTTTCTCTCATCTGCCATACGTCTTTGGCATTTCCCTATAATATTTAAAATCGTCTCCGATAGATTTTATATAACGTTCTTTTTATAACTCTTCTTCTTCATCAAGGGAGTATGCACAACTTACGCGATTATATCCGAATTAACAACAGCGCACAATTTGTTCAAGCTCTTCGTTGTTTGGCGCCAGTTGGAAGCTTCAAGTGAAATCAGGTCTCTCAACACTTGATTTCGACATTCACGGATGTTGCAATTGTCCTTCAACATATACATAGAAGGTCGGGAATAACTAGTGACTTGTAAAGTTGGTTTTGGTTCGACGGGAGAGGAGTTTGCTTTGGCAAGAGGGATTCTGCGTTGGATTTCATGGCTGACACTATTATTGGTGATAATGCTGGTGATAGGTTTGACTTTATCTCCCAGGATAGCCTACTTACTGGCCTACAGACCCAAAGAAATCACCTGACTTTATTGACCTTGATAATTATATAATACATATATTGACTTTGCAGTCACCAAACACGTAGATAGGAATTTGGTATCTGATGAAAGCTGCACAGACTTATCTTCAGATCACTCCCCAGTGATTATTAAATTAAATGTAGAGCAAGTTGAAAGTGAGTGTCCCTTTCGTCTTACGACAACTAGAACTAACTAACTCAAATACAAAAAATACATAATCAGTCATATATAGACCCATCGGTAATGAAAAGTGAACATGACATTGATATGAGGTATTTTTATTTAAAAGTATGCTAGCGACAGCAACAACCATTGCTACACCGAGTCAAAAAACACTGCTGAAGGCCGAAAAAATTACTAGTAAGAGTGAAGTAGAGGTATTGGTCCGAGGCATGCGACGCTTGCTTCGTGTATATCAAGCCTACCGATCAAAACCGATGCAAAAATTCGGCTGAAGAGGGTTGAGGTGAAAAATTCTATAAAGTCTTCTACTAAAAAAAATCGCCATAGAAAGCTAGCAAAAAACTTAAGACACCTAAATTATTACTGCTTAAATCCAAAAAAAAAATTCCAGGTGATGACCATATCTCAAGAAAAAACTAAGCTTTTCACAAATATGGGAAAAGTCGCAGATAATTATAATAGCTAAACCAGATAAAGACGCAACACTGTCGTCAAAACTTTTCGAAAAAGTACTGCTAACAAAAATTACTTCTTTTCCCCATCAAAATGACTTTATTCCTGCACATCAATTCGGTTTCCGGGAATTGAACAAGTAAATCGTATAACAAATGAAATAAGGAAAGTTTTCGAAATCAGAGAGCATTGCTCGGCCGTTTTTCTTTGATGGTCTCGTTCATAAAATTAAATACATACAGTCATTATCTAACACGTTCCACAATACACTTTTAACTAACAGGCGGTTAACCGTAAAAGTAAACGATTACTTAACGGAAGAGTATCGAATCACGGCAGCTGCTCCGCAGGATAATGTTCTTGGACCAATTTTGTACATACTGTTCACCGCAGATATTCGTACAAGTGAAGAAGTAATGCCCCATTACAGCCACAAAAGTGTTACAGCAGTATCTTAAGCTAATTGAAGAATGGCTAGCAAAATGGCGCATTAAAGTTTAAGAAAACAAGTGCAGACACATAACATCATTCCAAAATGTCAGTTCCAAAGCAACCATAAATGCAACTGTGCAAACTTTGACGATGTATCATGTTCTGAAATGCATCGTTGAAAATTTTTGATGCGCAAACAAAACTAAACTGATGCTTTATTTTACTATTAATTCTTAATAACTATGGCCTACGGCAGAGGGTAGGTTTTTAATTATTTTTAAAACTTTATATAACTATTTTTTTGATCTGTTTTATATTTCAGACATTTCCCCGAAAATAAGCTTATTTGCACGAAGAACGTTCCAAAATATCAGAGTTAGCTAAGTCTGAGTTTACATGAGAATACTTTTGTCGCTTATTATCGTAATTTTCGTTTTCTTACACAAAGAGAGACTTTCTTCAAGCAATTTTTTTGATATTTATTTCTTTTTAATATTTTTAAAATAAAAACACTATTTTTGTGAAAAGGAGGACACAGCTTTTATTTATCTACTTCTTTTATATATTTTTACATTTGAAAAAACATCAACTCTAACCTTTTCAAAGTGTAATCCAATTAAATATAATATCGTATCCTTTTCACCATCAACAGAGTCAATCCCAACAGCTTCTTCCATTATAATCCATTCTAATATTTCATGCATTAATTCACTTTATCCGCAAACTCCATTATCTGAAAAATTAATAATTAGATACATATACGCATAGGCATGTGTATATGGTTGCATGCATATACATACATATAAATAATATAGTAAAAACCCAAATTTCAATTTCCATCCTTACAACATTTATTCGTTTGAAGTTTAAGGCAGCTACAATCAGTCGAATGGAAACATAAAACGTGTCGAACGAGCACAGCGACACGGTGCGCAGTCGCCTTCGTAGTCACCCCTTCCCCTAGAAACAAGTGTTTCGTCGACAAAATATCCCCGTGTAAGCTCGGACTAAGTATTGTTGCTTTGCAAATTTATAGAATTTAGGGTTGCATTGTAGTGATGCGGTTTCGCAACGGCATCATTGTAAAGTATTTTTACGTTTTGGAGCTCTTTTTTTGCATTTTTAAGCTTCCGGAAGCGACGACGGTGAACAAAATGAAATCTTAGTGGCGTTTAGAAGGAAAAATTAAGCTCTTGCTTGGTTTTTATTTAAACAAAATCGAGTAAATTCTATTGCAATGTTGAGTTAATATGGCCGGCTTACACAGAAAAAGAATTTCAAACTAATTCATCCTTCAGAGAAATGGTTGCAAAACAAGTTTTACATAAATATTCGTCCTATTCTTTCGAGGTAATAAAATTTACCTAGGTATTAAATTTTACCATTCAGTATATTTTGTTACCATTTCGTATTCTGAGCTCACTGTTACCCTGTAAATTTTGTTACCAGCGAAATAGGAGGTAACAAAAATATCTGCTGTTTGATTTTGTGTTGTGAGTTTGAGAAAAAATAAAAAACCAAAATGGGTAGGCATATTTTAGGCCTGGAATTCATTGAAGATGAAGAAAAAAGTGCAAAAAGCCGTATTTTAAGAAGTTTTCGAGACTAAAAAATAGCCCTCTAATTTGTAAGATAACGATTTCTTTCAGATTTTTTTGTTGCTCAGGCATATTTTCCATTTTTAGGTTCAAGTATTTATGATTTAATACAGAAAATTAATAAAACTTTTTAATTTTTTTGTGCACTGTCTTCCATTTCGACGTGAATATATTTTTTTTTTTCTTTATCAACTGGCAAATGTGATTTTACATTTACGAAAAAAGCAGTGCTGCCAAATTTTTTTCAAACATTGTAACCAGTTCGCCAGAATACCAAATTCAATTTCGGGTGTTAAAGAAAAGTAACAAAATTCACTTTACCAGTAACAGTGAGAATAGGCCTTTTAGGGGACTAACTTCATCGTTGGACGGCATGTAGATTTTAATC